ACCAACGAATCTCTTCTTCATGCACTTTCATACGAAATGAAGGTCCCTCTAACAATATGCAGAATTATTTGCGTCAAGCAGACAATCATTTCATCTTCACGAAGGCCCTTCTTAAAGTATTTCATCGCTGGGAGAGCAATGGTGCTTTCATGAGACCACCTTCCTGCCAGAATTGAAAGATGCTCCTGGATGTTTTTTTTCATAGTCAGCTCTAGGAGGGCAGGATAAAAAAGTCTATTAAATCCGTTTAGAATGCTTATCTTTAAGGATTACCTGATGTTTCGTGTTCACCATGTACGAGCAGATTTAACTTACGCCTACACTAAAGCAATACAGTATTCAAGGTGCTGTTTGAGAGTTGTCGTAGACCTCTAAAATTTAACAATTAATTTTCGAATTCCTAATTTTTGACCTTTGCAAGGCCACTGAGTATTTCAAGTAATCATGTTTGGAAGATAGTCTATTGCTCCTTTGAGAATTTCTTTGAGTTTTTAAGAGACCTTCTTGCTTAGGATGGTTTTCAGGGTAGATTATGAGAGGAGCTGTCTTCACCTGGTCGATGCTTGCTCCAGGGTCCGGATTGTCGAAAAATATGTCACATTTGAGCTTCACTTTCTCCAAGCTTGTATGTCGAAACGAACGCGTAATTGATTGACATATCTGCGCTTTTGTTTGTACGACTTCTAAGTATCATGGTTTCACAATATTTTGATTGTAATACCAGGCTGTTTAATTTATTCAGCAGGCCTTGATTTACATAGTTACCTCTGGTTTTGGGTCAATTTGATTTATTTTGCTTAATGATTTAGTCAGATAGCTGGTAAGTCAAACTATGTTTTACTGGCGAGCACCATCTGGCAGGTCTCTATTTTAAGCCACATAGCGAGGATAGGCCCATATTTTCATAATATAAGTAGTGTCACAAGTAGTTTTTAATGTTACTTTTTATTGATGCAGGCATGAAATCTTAAGGAGGGAGCCTAGTTGTGTAATTATGATCCTATCTTCTCGAGTGGCTCGAGCAGTGGATTCAATAAATTCGTTACTAGTAGTGGCAATATTTGTTCGTGTATACTTGATTTTTAGGGTTTTTAGTTGTGTGCTACTGATTGTGCATTTAGGTTGCAAGGGCTGTGGTGTGATCAGGACGCTCTATTTTATTAAAAGTATGAACGTATAGTGTTTATATCGGCGTTCAAAAAAGTGTAAACAGAGCCTATCTTTATGCGGCCATACTATATGAAGAATATAGCCTCTGTTAGATTGACTTCCTTTTCATAAAAATGCATAGGCTTAGGAAATATATCTACAGCAATGGGGGTACTTCGGTGAGTCTTATTCACTCTGGCCTAATTTAGTTATTGTAAGGATATGACAGTCGAGAGCATAACAAGTTTTCATCAGAATTCAAGGAGATTGCCTCGGACACAACTTCAATTAGAATGTTCCATTGAAACCAACTAAAAATTAATCAACAGCACATACTTTCATTCGTAATGGAAGTGAGCTAGCTCATTAATTGTAAACTAGGGGACTTATGAAAACTACTTTTCTTCGCATGAACGTATGATACAAGCTCAAGCTTTGATCTTTTGAGCATGGACCGCCGAGACACTACCTTTGATGAGCTACTTATCCAGCTCATTGTTTATTCCATTTTTACTGCAAAGATAGTAAACTGACTATTTTGGGCCGGAACAAAACGGCTCTTAAAAAACTAGCTTTGATGGATTCACTCTCCGTTCCTGCCAGCCTAAGTTAATGAGTACCACAATTTCAAGGGTCTTGTCTGCAGTGGTTGTCAGATGAACGAGTTTCAAACTTCGTGCCTGTGAATGGTCTGATAACCTCATCCTGAAGAGCAGTCAGCTGTTGAGCTGAGCGTAGTGCCTGCAATTTATCATTCATGAAGTGTTTGCATGTTTTATTTTATGACCTCTGAGTCAAAATGGGCGAACTGTAAGGAATTGTTTTGAGTAGCCATCCATTCTTTTCGCTCATTTGGATTGTTTAGCTTTCTTTGCCTCAGGACTGTTGTATATCAGAAAAGCTCATTCTTTCTACTATTAGATCATGATTTGAATTGCGTCTCTATGGTAAATTTTTATCTCACCATCAACTGACTCTTGGCGGCTCCGAACTATTTGGATAGGTTCTATTTAGAGTTTTTTTAGGACTAGTTATTCAATTTTCATTTATGCAAAATTAGTCCTTAAAGACATAGGATGGGTGATTGTACCCAAGACTAGCCATTTAAATAAAGCTAACCAAGTTTAATTAAAGACTAAATTTTTCTCAGATGTGCTACTTGCCTACTCAGCTCCTATCAACAATTCCCTCGGTGCTTAAGGGAACGATTCCACTCTTGGTCACCTTAGCGATCCATGGCCTGATAACAGTCGGATAAAGTATTTCTGGATACAAGTTTAAGTGAAATTCAAGGTTAGGCTGAGTTTATCTTCTGGCTTCATCGAAAAGCGACCTAGGGTAACCATTTTAGTCAGGAGGAGAATCTACAGGATTACTATCTGTAATCAGTTAGGCTATCTTGTCCGAGTTTCTCAATGCCCATTCCATAAGGCTTTAATCCGACATTGTAAATAAGCAGCTTTTTGCTAACTCAAAGTCATCAGTTTTGCAGATGACACAGTACGGTCTACGTTCTTCGAAGGTTCCCAGAAAACAAGAATAAATTGCTAAAGCAGACTGCAACCGAACCAAAGGCCAAAACGTCTTGATCTTCATATTTACGATTTAACAAATTTAATTAAGTATTGTAGCTATGAAGACCGAGATGGTGTATCCTTCTGTTTGGTCACAGTCTCCTTAATTAAGGATTGTTTTTACTTTAACTATTTTTGTCACATTGGATTTGTTCTATTTTTAGCATTGGGTCTATGGAATATGTTCCGAGGTTATGTTATTTATTATCTGTTTTTCATTGTGGTTAAATTGAGTTTTGTCTATAATAAAATCTTTGTTTTAAATTTGGGTATGGAACTTTTTTATTGCAATTTCAATTGGATAGTAAATATACCTTTCTCATAGATTCATAAGCTACTTAATTTATTTGTTTTCAAAACGGAAAATTTTCTTCTTTGGAACTTGGATTTCGTTCTTTTTTTGTCTTTAAAGCTTAGGGCGATAGGTAGATCTTCTGGATTTATAAGTTTGATTTTGGTTACGATTTTTTATCTATTCACTCAGTCTATATCATAATGAGATTCCAACGGAGATGTAGTAAATTGCTATAGATATTAATGGTGCTATGATAATATGTTCTTCTCGAAAATATGTTACTTATTTCTACTGGCCATGGCGATGGGAATCTTCCTCTTATGGAATCTTTTGTCATTAATCTCAACTTATTCTATGCTTATGGGTAAGCCATTGGCTGAACTTTACATCCTTTATTATCTTTAAAGCATGTTTCTTAAAGTGGTAGTATGATTGTATGATTTGTTGCTTCACTCGCTTCTTAAAGTCATTCCGATGCCTTTCTCTGGTTTCTTACAGGTTTATTATTTATTTAGCTAAGAGCGAATTGCATACATAAATACATATAACATGTGACTAGATAGATTTTTAGATTCCATAGACAAATATCGGTAGATAGATATCATTCATTTCATTGAATGTTTTTTTTTGTTTTTATTATTTTGGCCTATAGCCACTTCCTTCGTGCACACAGTCGACGCTACAGCTTCGGGCCCCAGACCGGGCTTACTCGACACCGAAGTTGTCAAGCCAACTGGTCAGCATTGGTTGCTTCAATTTCCTTGCCGGCTTCCTTCTCTAGTGGTTTCTCCTCCTGCCCCTCCTCCATCTCAGCCCCAGTCAGCCCCGGTGTATTTTCCCCTTAGGTCATCTCTGTCATCCGTCAATTTTGTCCCATCCCAGTCTTCAGCTCCCCCTACCTTCGTCACCTCGATTCCCACAACCACCACAACGATTGCTTCTTCCACCTCTTCAGCGCTCAATTCGCCGACGCCAGTACCACTGCCTCCGCCCCCGATGTGCTCCCGGTCTGGCAGTCACCAGCGTCGCTTAACTTCTGTCCGACATTCGTCTTTCAACCCGTCGAGGGCGCTTCAGGGCGGTTTTGCTAAGACAACCTCCTACGAAATCGTGAGTACTCCCGCCGAACCATCGCCGACGTCCCCGTCACCGAGTGAATCCTCGTCGAATAGAGACTCCTCTCTGTTTTATTCCGGCAATGACTGTGTGAGCGAGACGATAGATGACCCATTTTCACAAGATTTGAAAGCCTATGGCGTTCAGGAATGCTCTAACCGATTTTGGACTCAGTATCCCTCTAGTTTAGCCTCTTTTCCTTCTGTCTGTCCCTCCACCTCTTCTGCCACTTCTTTATCCTTCCGTTCCCATGCTTTACGGTGTTTGGACTCCAAATGCTCACCTTCGGACCAATACAGTCGCCAGCCCCTTCAGGAGTACTCTTGTCCCACACGGCTGTCCAATCGTTGGCCACCTTATTGGCCCGTATCCGGTCTTTCCAATAGTCCCGATGATCCTGCTTCCACCTTTGGTCTGTACCACCAACAGCTGCCGGAAGCCAAGGTGCAATCCTGCTACTTGCCTGGCCAGGGCAGCTTTGGTTGTGTAGACCAGGCGGGTGTCGCCTCTTCCGTCGCTATGTCATTGTCTCTGAACCCGGTAACTACCCCTCCACAGGCTGCCTGGACTGATGCGGCTTGTTCGGTAAGAGCTTGAATCAAATCTTTCAGGCATATTTGTGTCTTCGTTTCTGACTTCTGCATGTTGCGTCCCTTCTTATTATTCACATTTAACACTGGATTTATCTTTGTTTAAACTTATTTTTCCCGCTGCGTGTGTAAGAAGCTCCGCGTTTATGACAATTTTTAAAATATAAGATGAATTTACTCTATTTTGTTTGAGGTGACGAAGGACTGGTAGGAGAATTTTTCCACAATGATATGAGTAGAGCTGACGTTTCCATTGAATTGCACATAGCCTTCCTTGAAATTCACATCTGCCCTGTGACAATGTGGCCGAGTGGCTAACGTGTCAAGCTCACATGCCCCACTGTCACAGTTCCACTTCCGCTGGGGGTTTTGATGAGACCTATGCGAGGTCGAAATTGCAGTCCATCCTGGATGAGAACAACTTTTGGGAAAGCAAGGCTATGTGAAATTTTATGGAAACGTCATCTCTACACATATCATTGTAGAAGAATTCAGCTACCAGTCCTTCATCACCTTAAACAAAATAGAGTAAATACATCTACTCTAAAAATATACTAAACCACGAGAAAGATAGTCGGCCGCAACCTTAGCTGCTTTCCTATACACTTGGCCTTACGATCTTAATGAGGCATCTCATGATATGGTTGACTACCTCAAGTTTTCTCTACTTGCCTGCAGATGAATGAGGTTACTTGACGAACCACATGTTTGCTTAATCGATAATTCCACTATAGAATTTTTTGTGTGAAGCGCTTAGCCTTCCTTGAATGTTGCATCTGCCTTATGACCTATTGACACCCTAGGCCGTGTTATAGTGTGGTATATTTGCCAAGATACTCACCAGCTAGTATCGAACCCCCTTGAGATTCTCAGTCCGCCCTGAATGAAATAAACGTTTGAAAGGCAGTGAAATAGGGAAACCTACTCATTTGATTGTGGGAAAAACTCCACTACCACTCTACAAATCATCTTAAACTACCTTGGAGGACCAAGTTCTTATTAAAGAAGTACTGATAGTCTTTAAAGATACCTATTTGAAAAATGACTCAATCTTTTTCATCCAACTCTGTCTACGAACTGAAATGTCCGATGACATTTTGAGGTATGAAGGGAAGCTACGGCTTGAAGAACCCCTTAGTAGATTGATGCTGGCATAGCTTTCCTTTCGCTTGAAAAGGCGGCTGTAAGGGATTCGTAAATTTGCCTCACCTGATACAGAAGGAGGTTTGTTTTGGACTTGTGATTGTTGAATTAAGCAAGGAAACCATAGACTCAACGTCCTACGACCCCGATCATGTGGCAGATCTCTTTTGAGCGAGGAACTATTATTTAGGAAGAATCACCTAAAAGACACTAAATCAGGAAAGGTGGCCGGCTGAAATTCCATTTTTTGCATGCGACTTCATCGTATTGCTGACTTCATCAGAGCAGGGTATTTTTCTTACAACGATATTCGAGCTAACAAGTCAAGAAAACTCACCGGTTCATCGCTAAATGAAATATATATAGGCCCTAAATCTAAGCTCTTGATGAGGTTAATTCTAGTCGTTTATCAATCTCGGAGCATGTGAGTATGTCTGTCTCTGTATGTGTATGTGTTGGAATAGGTAGGAAGCCAGCAGACGGCGGAGGAAAGCTTAGCATGTCTTCACCTAAATCGAAGAAGATTACCTCAGAAACAGCGTCAACAAAAATGTTTTAGTTGATCAAGAGAAATCCGCTGTCGTCTTCTGGTAGGATCGACGTTCGAATCTCTTCATCAAGCACTTTCACTCTAGCTGTAAGTTACTTCAACGATTATGTAATTCTACTACTTATGCCTAACTTTGCGGTCTTATTGAAGCACACCATGATTTGGTCGGCCATTTTATACTTAAAATACATTCTTGTAATAGGAGATGTAACTCTACTTAGATAC